CGTGTTAAACAGACTGTGTTTGTTAGGTAATCATAGCAAATAATGCTGGCTATAGAAACAGCTGTTCGACAGAAGAAGCTCCAGAGGTAGCTACTTGGTTGTTCAGAACACTGATGAAGAAATATATTGCCTTTTGCAAATTTCAGTTCTAAAAAAATCTATAATTCAGTTAAAAGTCTCGGGACTGAGCTAACAGCAGTTGTGCCAGTCACTTGATCTCTTCATTGCCTGTCGTGAATCGTCTCTGCCAGAAACGCTGTGGAGAGGCTGGTGGGGCTCGCTGAAAAGCAGGTGTACCACCTCTGGAGTGGCTGTTGTAGTGCTGAAGGGATTGAATACACTCCCACGTGCTCCAGAGTAGCTGGAAACCTGTCCTAGACACTCGCTGTGGTTGGTGTAATGTCTCTTAAACAGATTAGAAATACTTCCAATTAAACGAGCTTATGTAAGTTTACACCATGAGAAAAAACATCTCTTACATGGAAAAGAAACTAAGTAATAGATATCCTTCTTCCTTCCTGAAAACACGTACACTCCAGAGACAGTTGGTTCAAGGGCAAGATGAGAGGAAGATTTCCGTGGGAGAAACTGTGTCCAAAATACAGCCAAAACCTAGAATTCCACAAAGACATGTTCCTAAACAGTGCAAGACAGATAGTGAAGAAATTTTTCCCGTAAGAGTTAATGGAACTGAGACAGGGTAAGCATGCAGGGACTTATGAAATACGTAACTCAAATACACAGGATGAGGCCAGCGACACGGACACTGGAAGGGCAGGAGCAAGTTGTTGGGATTGTCAGCTGAAGGAGACACGGTGTTTTCAGAACCTTCCTCACGAGGACCATTCTTGCTCCTTCCAGATGGCTGCATTTTCCTCATCACCTGCCTCAGGTGAACCCAGGTCAGCCACGGGTGAAGGCTGGGGAAGGAGAAACAGCGGGCAGAGCAGGGCACTAGCACAGACAGCGGTCCGCAACGGCAGGGGGGCCGTGGCGGCCAGGGAGGTGTTGCTGCAACGCCACGGCAGCAGTTGCATCAATTAAAAGGCTGATGGGCAAAACACCTGACCCCGCAAAGTCACAGAAGTGGTTTTTGAAAGAGAAGGGCGTGCCAGGTTCCCCTGGGAGTCGCTGCGGGGGCAGGGGGCTAGCTCTGCCCCAGGGCGAGCGCGGCACCCTCGGAGGGAAGGGCAGCTGGCGGGGAGCCTCCCCCACCGCAGGACAGCGGGCGCTGGCGCAGGGGTGCGCAGCCCAGGGCAAACCTGTGCTCCCCTGCTGCTCGTCGCCTGGAGCGAGGGGGCAGTGGCGGGGCTCCCGCGCAGGCGCCAGCAGAACTGCAGAAAGCCAACGCGCGAGCCCTCCGGCTTCTGGAGGGCCTTCTCAA